GCTGAAATTTTGGGTATATATTTCTACTCCGTTTGTCATCCTGTTTTAAAATTTTTACTCATACACCCCTAAACCTCGCGTACGGGCCCCCGAAAAAATTGTGCAGATTTCTTTGACGGGAAGCGATTTCGCGAATCAAACAAGGTACAAAGCTAAAACTTTGCAGGGATATTCTCTTTGCATGTGCGAGCTAAAAATTTCAAATCTAGTTTTCGCACCTGCTTGTGCAACGCGTAGGTTCGCGTCAAAGTTTGCAAATTGGTACTGTGTTAACTCGAAAACTTTCCGAAAAACAGTGTCTGAAATTCTGTCAGCATTTTTATTGCCCATCGTATACCTAAAATGAGTACCGATTTACATTTGCGCAACGACTCAGGTCACTTCGAAGGTATTTGTAGTGAAGTGGCTATTTCGCTTACCGGATAGGGTGCGAGGTTAAAACTTCACAGGGGTATTCTGCTTTCATTTTTGGTCTTAATTCTGCTTGGAAGTAAAACTCCCTGCAGGTGGGCATGAGAAATACTCAACTTTGCCGAAAAATCAGAGACGAGTGCATTTTTTAGTGAACGACCGCCCTCATCCTCTTCCAATATGTAAGTGAACTCATTTACATATTTGGATTTTTTGACGAACGACCGTTGTAGCAACATTGCCACTTTTCACCGAACTAGAAATTTGCATTTTATATCTGCCAGAAAAACTACTGGGCTTCACGAAAAAAACTGATAATCGTGCACCTGGAGGTCCCTGTAATGCAACACCTCCATCCTAACTAACACCCTTTCTCCTGTATGCCGGAACGGGCCAAAGCGGCCAATTTGAGCCTAAATGTTAGGCTACAGCGCCTGGATCATTCCTGCTATTAGCGACCTGCGAGTTTTGCAAAAACGCATGATCACATCGGCGAGCCTGGTGCGTTCCAGCCTGAGTTTGGAGTTAAAGAAAGTTGGCGGAGTGAATGGAAAAAGTCGATAAGAAGGAGGGAATGACAGATTATGAATTTTTTGACCTTGTTTAATGCGTCCTCGGAGTTGGGCTGATCAGAAGTTTTTGATTTTGAAATGTTAGGAAGTTATAAATGTGTAAGAACACATTTAACAGTGAAACCTTTGTAAGTGGTACATTAGGGACACCTA